CCCAGGGCTAAGCGCCCTCTGCGGCGACATTTGGGTGTGAAAATTGTCCCATGTTCGTGTAACGACACTAGCGCGCGTGTCATCCATTTTTCGTTCGTAAATAGCGGCTTACCAAAGGTCACCGACTTAATGGCACCCCTTAGCCCGTGCTAACGACTGGCCCTCCCTGTGCGTGGACGCAATTGGGTCTAGCCGAAATGCAAATATGCTAGATAAGCCTAAATCAGCTTAAATCTTAGCCCGTACTTCGTGTAACGTGAACCATGGAGCTAAAAAGCTCCATGCGTGAACACAACTATTATACCTGACTGAGAGGGCTTTATTTACACGTATTGATTTTTTCTATATAAGCCAATTTGTGTCAAATTAGCACTTTTTTCTATATATAAAGTCTTAACTGCTGATGAGTGAGGTACTCAATGTACCTTACGAAACAGTACTGTAGAGTCAACTTTACTCATGTAGTCTCTGTCCACGTATGTATATATATACTTCCTGATAGTTTCCGTATAATAGCCATGTTTAACCCCGCTACAATTTCTGTATGCTGGACATAGTAGGGACACGAATAAAGTATTATACGACAATATATACATGTATATTCGAAAGTGAATAACGAGTTGTATATTTCCTCGCCTTAAATAAAAACTATTCAATTTTAGACTGAACGTTTTAACCTGTGCTGACTTCCAAGAAATCGTCGTTACCGACCTTGTTTACGATACAAGTGTAAAAAGTCATGGTAGTGAGATGATTGTCTTATGAGCGAGTCAACATTTAACATTTAAATATTTTCACTCATAGCCTGAGTTGGTTCAGCTTGTTCATTGCTCAACTAATATAAGCTACCAGTACGTAATTGCAATGGCTGATACATTGTGGCATCACTAGCTAGAGTGTAATAAAGGTCGCAGTGTGTACCAGAGGTCTGGTGGCATTCAAAGTCCACGATACGCTTATATGTTTCCGCTGATAGACGATAACACTTGTAGGAAAATAAAGTTGCTTACCAGTGATGTGTGCGGGATCGTATTTCACCGGCGAGACTCAAAAACACGTCATGATATCATAATACGGATAACATAAACACAGTGTACGTGACACCACAGTTGACCTTTGTGCGCATGCGTCGAGTTGTCCCAATTCATTGTGAATATAGGTAGTAGGTAGTATTCAGGGCTCGTACCACTAATTGCAACTCCATAGACGACCATGTTAACATATGACGAGATTGCTATATGAAAATGATGAACAAAGTTGAAAACATGGTTCAAAAATGGGAAATCAACATGCCAGTAATCAACCTAATGAAAACAAATAACATGTTGGCCAGCTCAAACTCTTACAAATCTCAAGTAAACAAGATTAGAACATTCAAATACACACAGAATAAACCCATAGGTACACATCCGATAAGTAGTAAACAAAAGACCACATGCTGGTCTCACCTTTGACCCAGATGATCACACCCTCAAACAGGGAGCACCTGAGGAAAAAAATATTTAAACAATTTCATTGTTTTTTACAAGGCATTTAAATTGGCTACGAGCAGCCATTGGCAATAGAGCTAAACACAACCACAATGAAAGAGACAATAATGTCTGTACATTTCGGTCATGCAATGACCCTTCGCCGGTCAGTTGTATCTGAATAGGTCGTTGTCCTCATCGAAATATATTCATCAGTGTACGGTTTACAGCATTGTTGTACTTCAGTTGGGTTATCACAGCGACTCCACGTTGTTCTGAATCTAGGACACGGCGAATGCATTATCTCTCTAATGTAGGGATTTCCACGTGAAAATGTCAATTATGGGGTGTCCCGAGGTGAAGAATTAAATGATTTTTGCTCACCGGGGAAGTCAATGCACGGTAGTGGAAATGTTTCCACCACACGCTGTACACTGTCACAATATGCGTAGTGACATATATTGCATGTTATAGTGATGTGTATTTCTATAAAGAGAGTCGGGGGGGGGGAGAGCTGGTGCAGGTTACAGAATAAATTAAGAGCATTTTAAATGTTAACAGGAAATGTAAAGAAAAATTAAAAAAACATGTTTTTCACAATCAATTACAAATACTTAATTACATTTTACGAAATTGTGCATTATTGACAAAACTGAATCGGTAGACCTCGAATTACGTATAAACACTACTTTTATTACGGTTATTACAGTCTCTTTCTAAGATCCGGAACTCGTTTTATTTTTAGTGTAGATTGTTCGATACGTCACCAACTCCAATGAATAGGTTCGTTTGCACCCCTTACATGAGAGCGTGAGACGTTTTGTATGTTGACTTTAACATTGCTAGGTGTAACAACTAATCCTAATCAGATTTCACAAATAAACTTGGCTATGATATTTTGTGAAACTCCATTTACCAATATTGCATACAACTGCATATCTTAATACTACCAACAATATTGGAAAATTGACCCTGCAGATGTCAACCATTTCAAACAGCATGACTTTCATTTAATATCCCACCCATAAATATATTGCTATTATCGTTTCGTAACATTTACCTTGAAACACCATGTAGTAAGGTTGTTCTGAGGAGAAAAGGAATTACATTACATATGTGACCATACGACTTCACAAATATGAACTATTTTAACTATATTATTTGGTACATAGTGAATTAATCGCATCATTTTTAATATTCGGGGTAGAGTAAACTTCTCAGCAAAATTTTCTTAGGCCATTTCAACGGGGCTGAAATAAACTCATAATGAAAACCGCTATCTCTATGTCATTTTCATTTTGAATATTGCAATAGCCATTAGAACATTCTTAGTGGTATTTGTTTAGACTTTTTTGACACTTTCAATCTTTACAGACTACGCTGATATGTGGATTACAGTTAGTTTTTAGTTTTACCCCCGTATGTCATGAGTTATGTTGAAAAATGTTTTTTTTTGTAAATATGCCTGAATATTAATAGACGTTGTCGTTCATATTAAAATTACACAACTGTTGAATACACTTGCTCCTTGCAGATGGTGTCCGCGGACAGTTGAGTTTCTCTGTGAAAACCGTTTTCAATCAGAAGTCGGGTGGAGGAATCGAGTGAAATACAACTAATATTTTAAAGAGTGCTACATTACAGTAAAACGAATTATATGTGTTCATAGGCGGGAAATTTAGTTTCAAATTTTCAACGGTTGAATACAAAGTCATAACAAATACCGCTAAGAAGGATTATTGCAATGTTCCAAGAGAAATTGAAGAGGGTTCGCGGTTTTCATGATCCCCGCTTCAATGTATCTGCCGCATGTTTATGTTCATACATGGAGTCGTATATTAAAGGGCGGCAGTCATCGTGCTGCGTCGTGTTCGATACGGGACTCATAGCGACGTATACAACTCGTGTAAAATACATTGTTTATTTACATGAAATTCGAACACGCGCTACGCAACGACCACCGCGCTTTAATTTTAATAACAGACGTACGTTCCCATGGTGGATATAAACGTTTCAGTTCAGTCCCAGTCCCCATTTACGTCACTAGTCAGAAATGTCGACAACATGTACTTTCTTTACCATATAATGACCATTGTCTAAACACCATCCAATACTGCCTCGTACTTTACAGCTGTTGTCATGACGTTAATTTTCATAAATAGACATCACCACCAATTTAATATAATGTACAATTTATTCGAAGTTGACAATACACTTTAATGCCAAAGTAAACTACATCTTTCATGAAATAAAGCTCACCATATTGGTTCAACATTTTATTTCAACAAAACCTGTAACCAACAAGTCAAATCTATTAGGTCCAAAAATATATCCTAAGATAAAATATGTAGATATAGGTAAAATGCAGCACAAAAAATGCTGGAAAGGATTGAGGTATGCTTTTTGCTATACTCTATGATTGAATTCATCTAAAAATCGCGCGCCCTCTAGCGATTGAGCGGTACCTCCCTTACAGCCATAACGTCACTGAGAGTGAGTTATAGGATGAGGTAGTTGAACGGTGAATTTAGTTAGTACAAATAAAGAATTTGTAAGCCAACAGAGTTGTTTTACTCTTATCATTATAGTTCTGAAGCGTCTTTCTTGTCCTCTCATCGTGTCTTATGTGGCGTCTATGAACAAGCCCCGCCGGCAGCTCCTTTTTTATTCTTTTTAGTTTTTTTGAGACCATATCTTTCCATTGAAATGAAAAACTCTTCTTTGTCCCCGAGTTGCTGTGCCCAGTCCCTGACAATGTCATCGATACCAGCACTGTATGATCCACCGTACTCAGGAGGCAGAATAGACGTGGGTAAAACGCTGTGTAGATTTGTTATATCTTTACCATGAACACGCAACTGTGAAATCAACAAGATAGCGAAATTCCAGTGAAATGCATGCATAGCGTCACAGTGGCGCCATTGCGTTGTGTTCGGCATGGGACCCACGCGACGTATACAACGCAAGAAAAACATATTTATTTACACAGAATTCGAACAATAAAATTTTACCATTTTACGGTACAACACGATATTTGGAAGCAAAGTCAACAACTAATAATATCACTAGACAACAAAATCTAAGGCACTTACCCTTTTTTTGATTTTGTCTTTCAAGAAAGGTTTGAATAATTTATACAAGCCGTCGAACAGACCCGATTCCTTAACAACATGTATACCCTTTATTCGTAGGGGCAGAGTATCCTGTGAAAACAATCATATAATGACTGACTACCACAAGGGTACACAAGATCAGAGGCACCGGCACGACATTTTACATGAGGGCGAGATCTGCTAACCATTTCTTGCGCCGAGGTATCAACTTGATTTTTGGGTTTCAACTTCATCGGGGGGGGGGACGACCGCCCCCTCCCGGTGCCGCCGCCACTGAAAATGCCATATCATATATTTACAACTAAATCGTATACAAGCAGATGTAGGATACATCAATTCAAACCAGTCGATCATTGTGGACCTGTCACATGACGATCACTTTCAGCAATGACGAGTACTTAATATACACGGGTCTTGATAATTTTTCCCACAAATACAGTTACATTGCAATCGCACATGTTAGTGAAATATTGTTTAGTGATTGAAATGGTTATTATAATTACTTCTTTAGTAGCAGTACAAAACATAATAAAGCCTATCAACTTATCATCAATCGCGGGATTTGAGTCATACAAATACAAATAGGTTCAGCGGTTTAGACACAAAAGCTTTAAACGAATACAACATACTAGATAACACATGAGATACACGTTAGTTCAAATTGTTGCCATATTCACCAATGAACGAAGTACGAATAATACATGATTTAATCACCTCGTTCATCAGAGGAGTTGTTTTTATCACAAAACGAGGTCCAAATTGTGTCATGTGATGAAGTCCGAATCCTTCCATATCGAATATATCCACGAACCCATTTATCTGAGTTTCTTCATTCCACAATTGCAGGTCACACATCATCATTTCAACTTTCACAAAATCCCACGCTGTGTACTTTGTTACGTCCCATTTACCTGTGAATAGAACACCGGTACCATTATATGTAGTGAGTCAATACTTACAAGACTGTGTCTGATTCAATCCAATCCAATCACAGAGCAGCTTATTTCAGGTTATTTTGACGTATTAAATTTTGCCTTGTATATATACTTCGACTCGACTGCATATATTTGCATTATGTGCAACAACATCACTAATAAACTTCCGCTTTTCAAAGTTAATTTTACGGGTTTTTCCTGAATATTGTTCTTAGAATGATTAAAATCAGGTCAGAAGTTTCAGATGTATTAGAGCAACAATTTGACAAACTTGCTCTCTTTGGTTTCGACTGAGAAGATGACGGACAAACATAAACACATTTGCATATCCACCAGCCTTGTCAATTTCATAAACGTGTTTAAAATATTATTTGTTAGAGATAGTAATTGATAGGAACATAAAACATAGTGATATTACAATTGTAGGTCTTATTCAAAACCAAAGTGGTTGGCTATTAAAATATCAAACAGAATGAAAATATCCGATAATTTGACAACAGACACACTTAATTACGACCAAACAAGTACCGAGTGATGAATTTGATGGTTTACAAGTAAATAAGTGGAATACATCTGACTGATATGCATTTGAATTATCGGTACAAACAATATTTCTGTCACCTATGTGAATTGCACGGTTTAGTTGGTATTGCGACATATGTGTATCACCAAATGTGATTTGAGGAAGGGCTGTTATATACATAGCGAGACACGTGACTTGAATCGTTTTCACATAAAGACAATTACTGTAAAATACTTTATTTTCGCTTGGAATTAATTTTCGCTATTTTTGCTGAAGAAATGATTCAGTGAAAATAAAATCCAGAGAATATACCTTTTTCCCTATATTTGACATTCCACTTGTCAAAAAGCAGCGAAAATAAATTTCATACAAAACACCCAAAATGTCATTTCAGCGAAAATTAATTCCAACTAAAATAAAGTATTTCACAGTATTCAGATAAATCTAAATTTAAAGAATCATGAGTTACACTTTTACGATATATTCGTATTTTTATTTTATGTGTATAAAACTGTCCCAAATGAATATACAAATGCCATTTGGATGGCATGAAATACACCCTATTGCTGAACCCTAATAAAAGATGACACTAATTGATTTCAAACAATCACATTAATATTTACGCTTTTGAACATTATATTTTCAACCTATTCGTTTTTACTTGGTCATAAAATTAAAATGTGAGCTGCTGAAATAAAATCCTTCCCCACTGACCTGGACGATCTATGGCAACGGGTCTTCCTTCTGGATCAGCTGATGGGAGTATGACAAACACCCCGCTTTCTATTAATCCCATCACGCTTGACGGTTTGTAATTTCCAAAGATTTCCACCAATTCAGATCTCATTTTACACCAACGTTCCAGCAATTTGAAAGTCCTTTTAATGTTAAACTTGCGAGCTCGAAGGAAACACAGAAGGAAAACCGCATCAATTGGACACCTGATGTCATCCCGTGATGTAATCATATCAAATAGTGTTTTCAGACCAGCGTCACGTGTCTCAGGGGATTCGTTCAGTTCGAGTCTTGCCTTTTCCTGTAGTTCTGGACTCAATGTGCACTCATAAGTAGGCACTTGCGCTGCCATAGCAACTAAGAAATAACAATTATAGTGAAATAGTACAGAATTAGTAATACAAATAATAATAATTTAAACGAGCGTGCCGTCATTGGTGTTTTGTCCACATGCGTCAGTTTATTGCATCATGGGTAATTGAGTCAAATCGTCTGACTCAGTATTCAAATTGTGAATTGTTAATTAAAAGCAGCAATTTGAGCGAATTAATATATCAGTTAATAACAAAAAATAAATTTTATTTATTGAGCATTCACAGTAGTTTACTATAATTAAAACAGATAATATGATTTATTTTAAGGTGGATTTCACAAAACCCAGAAAAACAAAAAAAATATAGTCACCAAACTACCTCCCACACAAAAAGGGAAAAGCATTCCGGAAAATGGACATTAAGCAAGTGTTGGTATATAACAGTGATATTAATAATGTCAAGACCAATCTATAGGTGAACGTTTTTCGTTCTTTGTATTGTGTTTTTAAGAGAACTGTAGCATAGTATACACACAATGGAAATTCAACGACAATCCCACTGCAATAGATTATTTTTCCCGCATAGTGCGGGACAGACATCTGCTTCAACTTGAATTTCTTGAATTTTTTTTATAGTTCAATGTTTAAATGTGTAGAGCACATAATTAGGCGTGGAAAAACCTAAAAATTACTTTCCCGTTTGACGAATCCCATCTGACGTTTTGACGTCCAACGGCGCTATGACCTTTTTTGCCTAGTTTTTACGTTCGATTTTACGCATAACACGGGATTTCGCATTGAACGGAAAATAATATATTGATACGGATTCGGCACCAACAAGTACCTTGCAATTTGGAGAGTTAGAGGCCATGAAATCGACAAAACGTGTCCTGTATACGGTAACTCTATACTGTTTTCCGTTGAACTAGTATCACCTGGTATCAAACAACCTCGTTTGATTTGACACGTGATTGGTATCCAAACAATAAAATAACCTGTTATGTGAAATAAAAGGAGTGACGTTAAATTAATAGGGTTAAACACTTTCGACGATATTATCAGATTCGACCATAGATCCTTTAACCGTCATTGCACCTTTTATGATCATTTCCGCAACATAGTCCTGTTGAAAATTTTGTTTTCATGATTTTTTGGGGTAAATTCTCGGTTACGTTCTATAAGTATTTGATTCAAAAACCAGCATTGATAATAGAGATATCAAATCAATACATGTTAAATGTCGGCGGGGTTTATAATTTAGTCAATAATAATAATATTTTAACAAATAAATAAATTGCCAATTTGCGGCAAATTTATGAATACCTGAGGTTGAATCTGCCTGTAATAAATTCTGATTTCTCAGTTTGTACCAAGAATGTAAATATTGTGCAAAATGAGTGATTCACACTAAGTTTCACATAATTACTAATTTAAGAAGAATTAGGAATGGGAACACGACGGAATATACAGTTCATAATCCACTGGCAGTCTGATAGTGCTATGTAGTGTCAGATCATGATTTGACCTGTAGGACACTGTGTACCAGTAGATTGCTTTAATTCATATTATTAGCTAGGTGATACACGTATACCTGTATATTTCAATGGTTCATATTATTAGCTATATTATACACGGTCTAATTAATATGCACAACGTATAGGTATTGCGTTCTCTGAACTAATGACTTGTTCTTTTTGTAAGTATGCGAACAGAGAAAGTTATTGGGCTGAAAATACCCCTCTCAAAATTATAGTATTTTGAAGCAATCTAGTCTAACCAATACCAAAACAGATTTTCACTTAACTTGTTCGTTACTTTAGCGTAATACATTGTAATGTGCACTCATTGTATGGAGCTCTTACTTCAACTTGAAATCGCAGTGGGAAAGAGCTACACAGGTCAACAAGACGGATCTACATTATCTGACAGAAGAACAAAATTACAGATCCGCTAGCAGGGGCATCATTACGCACTCAAAAATAGTGTGCTTGAATTATTTTATTTTATTTTAATTTAGCAAGTAATAAAATAAGTGTACTTACGGTGGTATATAATATACTATAAGATATTAATGTCCTCTTCGACACAACTGTTATAAGTATGTGTATATTTTGCGTTGTTGATCGACATCAGCGCATGCGTACAACTATATAAAATTATGAATATTATAATAAGAAGGGTACCGTTCACTATGGTGTACACGTAGTGTGTTTCGTAGATAGTGAAAATAAAAATAAAATAATTCAATAATTTAACAAACCCAGGTTTATTTTCTTATTCAAGTCAAACGATACGATTGCAAGTCGGCTAGGCAGGCGTGTTCTTTCATCACACGAAACGCCCACACGCGGCGTTAATCGATTCGTGATTAGTCGACATACTAGTACCCCCCCTCCCACCAGTCACGGTTTTTAATCAGCCATACATCTTAAGACGTTACTAGACAAGAATATGCAATGTGAACTATAATTAAAAATGTGGGTTTATGAATAATTTTAAAACGTAGATAATGGTTCTGACGCTTTTAGTAGACATTAATTCACCCATGAAATGTGCCACACGTTTCAGTCCGTGTAGCAGTAGGAGCTTAGAGCATTTCAGTTTGTATTCAATGTATATTGGAAACTACAGAACATGGCCATATCTACTACACACTAAATAAATGTTTGGTCATTTGGTGCGAAATAGATTATTGGACATTTTGTCATCGTGTTCAATCTAATATGGTAACAAACTATATAAGCAAATTGTTCATGGTGTAATAGCAACAATTTTGATGTTACAATATAATTAGCGGGTGAAGAAAAGGAATTGTAAACATTTTATGCTGTTTTTGGTGAATCCGATATATTTACAAAATCACATACATGTACTACGTGGAAAAGACGTTATTGGTCAAACTTTGAATGTCTTCTGATGTGGATGTTTCACACAAATTTATGTATCAATCGCCATAAACTTTATGAGAATTGTTTATATCTTTTGAAGATTTCAGTCCCCTGGACCCCTCGAAGTATGAGGTATTGGGCGCTTACGGGTTTGAAACAATCAATTTTTCGTAAATTCGCAATGGCGACCAAACTAAATTCTGAAGCTCAGATGCACCAGTTCACATCGGGGCTTACCAGTGTTAGAATATCATTCTGTTTAGTATTTGACGAAAAAATGGTAGAGGAAGGGGTAGAAATCGAAAACAATAATCTGTACGATAAAAATATTGCCCCATATCCCAAGAACATCGGTCACAATTTCTTTGTCAAAACTGCTAAATGTGTCCGAGTGTATTATAACATTACAAGTGAATTGTATGACATGGTCGCCCGATCGTGTCGATGAAGTAAGGTTAACCCAGTGGTGATTCTCCAAACAAATGCGATTAACGAATTGGGAATATGTCTATAAAGCGCAGGTACACAAAGGTAAATTTTGCGTTTTGTGGTAGGTACATTATTTACGAAACAAGCTGCCATTCCAAAACTAATAGGTTCAGCACAGAGATTGTTTCAGTTAAACTCGATACATCCTATTTTTAATATTATTTTCCCTCTTACTAAACTAACTAGAGGACCACTTAGGTATCAGAGAACAGATCGGTACCAACATCTAAAACGTTATTATTCATGCGATATCACATAACTGAAAAAAGAATAGCCAAACGAAAAGCTTCTATTATTTTTTGAAATTATAATATTTACATTTTAATAAGTAGTAGGTTTTACAAGAAAGGCCGTGCTGTAAAACAACGAGCTCGATGTTATTATATCGACTGGCATGACTTGATTTTTGGTAAATCACTGTGTATTGTGTATTCACATCTCAATTTTTGTGTACGACCCTGTAGTCCCAGTCATTGTAGCGGCATCATCCACGGTCTTCTTTACCAGGTCCGACTTCTTTATCCCATATTCCATCATGGCAACATACTCGTCCTCCTTACTTAATATTAAATCGCCGTATTTACTGACGATGTCTTCAATCGATGAGCTATGAGATCCACCATATTCACTTGGAAGTATGGAAGAGGGTACAACTTGGTGTAGTTTACTTAGATCATCGCCGTGAACGTGTATCTGTTGGTATTAGGCAATATACATATATATATATATATAGGCAACATTAGCTGCAATATCCCAATGTATCACAGTGTCTGCTTACAGTCGCCGTACAAAATAAATTTGTAATCATTATAAAAAAAACTGTCAAACGTAAAATAATATAGAGGCCAGATCAGAGCTAAGTACAGTGTCAATCACTGATTGATCTTTTTATCACGTGCATAAACTACATTTAGAAAACGTTGGTTTTGAAAACACATGAAGATTGAACATTACAATTCCGTGTTACTGCATATCTGATAATAAATGTAAGCGACGAGAGTGAGGCTGTAAGAGTGAATAAACGGGTATCACCCGTCTGTTAAGCCACTATTTTGGTATTTGCCACTATTTTGGTACCCGCGAAAATTAAAATCAACGTCCTCTTGCTCTTTGTTATTATTTTTCTTCACAAGTCAATAAATCTCATAATTCTGAATAATTCTGGACAGTTTGTGTATAATTTGGAGTAATTTGTTATGTTTAATTTAAGTTTTCTTTACTTGCGCATATTTTCAGACCGAATTGTCATCTTTTTGACGCAGACACAGTGACGCTAACTTAGGGGGTATTACAATCGGCTGTCCTAACAGCCATATCGCGGAGCTCAATTCAACTGTCGTACTTTTAAAAATCAATTGCATAGCATATCCGTCGCCGATTGAAATGGTGTTAGTGCATCGAAACTGTTCGGCGAAGCTGCTAGGTAAGTATATGACGATTCAATACTAATATTGATATTTACTAGCTAGCTATCGCACTATGACTTGTTTAGTGTGCCTGCT